TAGTCTTATAATTTTCTATTTTTTCTATTTATATATTTAGTCAATAATCTCATAATTAATATATATAAAGAAATTCATTATTTTCAATATATAAATAATTAATTCATATAAATTTCTCTATCAAATTCTATATCTTTTGTCCGATCTATATTAATTTCTCTTATATCAATATCATTATTATATTCAGAAAATTTCTTTTTTTCTAAATACAATTTTTCTTTTTTATATGATCATTATAGAATTATTTCAAATTATCGTGATATATTCTTAAGAAGATTATCAAAAGAGATCTTAATCGATTCATCTAATAAGAATCCCGATATATATGGGTCTCGTTATCTATCGTAAGAAGAAGAATATTTATTAATAACCGATATTAATTCTAGAAATCTAGAGTCATATAGTATATGATTTCACCTATATTTTTATCTGAATAGTCTGAATTTATTTGAAAAAATTCTCATAATTTTAATTCGGTCTATAAATATGATATATTAATATATATTGTCTATGGGCAGGTCGCCATATTATGGTTTCTTCGCCCAGAATCAGTCAGTTCCTTTCCTGAATATTTTTCTCTGTATAGATCGCTAGTATCTGTAATTTCTTCGTAGCCAATGAGATCGTGCCAGACATGTGCAGTTCTTGTTGCTTGTTCAACAAGCGATTGGTGCAGGGGCTTTCAAGCCGGTCTGTCAAGCACAATTCTTGTGCTGCAATTCACCCAGACTCCTAGTTGTCACACAGGCTGCACCTGAAGCGAGGTCGACGGCTCCATCGGCAAGGGCGCGCATTGGCAGTGCACGGAGACAAACACCCTGGTGGAAGGAGCTCTTACCTTAGCCGCAACCCTCAATCACTGCTCTCAGAAGGATTTCCGGCAAGGGATACGTTCCTCAAGCCCTCACACACTTAAGCCTGCGATGCAGGGTCGCAAAACCGCAGTCGTGAAACCGTAAATCTGTTCTTCCCACAATCGGTCTCGACAGCTCCCAGAAATGGTATAAAATCGAATATGATAATATGGGCAGCCTGGTGGTTTAGGTACAATGGCGGGAAGTCTGTAATTTAGTTCCCAATAAGCCAGGGAAATACAAGGTTAAACTTTCAGGTTACTACAA